AAAAAAAAAAAAAAAAAAACAGCTTTTCTTGGGGCCCACTTTTAGAAATTCTAATTTAGTTCGTTTGGGCCTTCCCCTCCCCCACTGGTACTGTAAAATCTTGCTAGATGATTCTAATCTATGCAAGCTTGTTCACCACTGCTGTCTTTGGCAGCCAGGTAGAAAGAAAAACAAAAAACCAAAATAGCTCTGATGGGTTTGTTCAGAACCCACAGATCTTATGTGCCAGGGTACTGGTGATACCGAGGTAAAGAAGGCCTAGTAGTCATCCTTAATGAACACCAAATTTTACAGGGCAGAGTCACATATAGTGGAATAGTACCAGTGTAGCATGTCCTGAGCAGCAGCATCTAGCAGGAGGCGTGTGTGAATAGATGAGCACGTTAGGGAGATGATCTGGAGGAGTGCATACCCAAGCTGTGTCTCGAGCACAAAAGTACACGCCAGACAGGCAGCCCAGGTAGAGGGAACCCCAAGAGGGGAGACCCCTGTCCAGGGTCCTGTGATCTGTGTGATGGTCCAGGAATATGAAGATTGAGGCAAGGGAGTAAGGACCCAGTGCACGGAGGCCCTTCTGTGCCTTGCTGCAGAGTTTGGACTGTGTTGATAGGCCCAGGGTCCACGTTGAAGCCAGGGAGTGGCATTTAGGTGTGTGTCTCTAGGAAGGATTTCTGGCTCTGGAGAGTCGAGGGACAATCCCACCAGCAGGGAGCCATTAGACTGTTGCAGGGGTCCAAGCAGGCTCCTGAACAGGTACTTGCTGTCCTTCCTCTTGGAGATCTGTGCACAAAGGACTCCTCCTCATCCTTCAGAGCGTAAATGTCACTGCCCGGAGACCTTTCCCGACTGTGGGTGCCCCGGGCCCTTGTGCCCCTCACCTTGCTTATCTGTTCTTGGTACTTGGCATGATCCGTCGCTATCTTATCAATACTCTTGTTTGCTCTTGGTTCCCTCTCTCTGATTGTAAACTTCATAAGGGCAGTGCGTTGACCTCTGTATTCTCAGTGCAGAGCACCCAGGAGCTGTGAAATGAACCCATGAAGGATGAGTACAGGAATCGTCTAGTGAAGGTTAGCTGTGGGCCTTGAGGACAGGTGGCTCACCAGGCCCTGGGAATACACAAAGGGAGCCATGGCCTTTCCAAACCTCAAGAGAAAGACAAGTATCACTTCCAGAGACAGGAATGTTGGGGTCTTGTGGAGCACCCTTTTGTTACCTCACTCTCATCGTCCTGTTGTGTGGGTGCTGTCGCCCCTTCCCACTTTCCCACGTGCCCCATGGTGCCCTCATAGACCTCATAGGCCCGCATGTCTTCTGGCTCCAAAGTCCATGGTGGGGGTGAGAAGAGACTACACATTCCACCACTGAAGACAGACCTGCGACCAGAGAGAACTGGTGAGCCTTTCTCCTCCCTCTCCCCCAGCAGCCCCAAAGCAGCCCTTCTGTTGGACATGGGGACTGAGGGACAAAGTCTCAGTGTGGACCCTTCTTGGATTGTCTTCTCTTGTCTTCCTCTTCTTCTGAAGCCCAAGCCTCTTGACAGCCAGAGGGACAACCGGCCTTGATGGTTTCCTTGTCCACAGGGCGGCCATCCTCACAGTCAGCTGTAGATCTCTCTAACTTAAACCGTGTTTTAAGACAAAACCAAACCTTGGAAGAGCATACTTGGAATGGTGTTCATGTAATGTGGTGTAAACTTAATTTTGGTCCCTTTGGTTTAAGTCAAAATTACTGATAATTATCTCTTTATTTTTTTATTTTTTTTGAGTTGGAGTCTCACTCTGTCACCCAGACTGGAGTGCAGTGGTTGCTCCCAGCCACCGCAGCCTCAACCTGCTGGGCTCCAGCGATCCTTCCGCCTCAGTCTTCCAAGTAGCTGGAACTACAGGCGCGCGCTACCATGCCCGGCTAATTTTTTGATTTATTGTAGAGATGAGGTCTCGCTGCCCAAGCCGGTCACGAACCCACAGGCTCAGGCAATCCACTCACCGCAGCCTCCCAAAGGCACGGGATTACAGGCTGAGCCACTGAGCTCGACTAATTATCTCTTTAAATGACAAGTTTATTGAGTGAAAAGTTATAAAGGAGGACTTCTTTTTAAGGAAGAGTAGGATACCTCTTGGGGACATGTGTCATAATTTTTTCTTTATTAAAAAGCCATTTAAGGTTATTAAAAAGAACACCTTTTAATTTTTATATATAAATACCTATCTAAAATAAAAATATTGAAAAGTGGCCGGGCTCGGTGGCTCAGCCTATAATTTCAGCACTTTGGGAGGACGAGGCAAGTGGATTGCCTGAGCCTGCGGGTTCGAGACCCACCTGGGCAACTTGGCGAGACCTTGTCTCTACAATAAATAAAAATTTATTGTGGTAGCACGCACCTGTAGTTCTGGCTACTTGGAAGGCTGAGGTGGAAGGATCGCTGGAGCCCAGCAGGGCGAGGCTGTGGTGTCTGGGAGCCTGCCGCTGCACTCCAGCCTGGGCAATGGAGTGAGACTCCAACTCAAACAAACAAACAAACAAAATATTGAAAGGCACAGTTTTTAGTTCTGTCCATGTTAACTTTAGTTCAGGAGTCCCCAACCTCCAGGCCACGGACCAGTAATGGTCCATGACTTATTAGGAACCAGGCTGCACAGTAGGAGGTAAGCAGCGAGCAAGCAAGTGAAGCTTCATCTGTACTTATAGCCACTTCCCATTGGTTGCATTCCCGTCAGACCTCTGCCTACTGTCAGATCAGTGGTGGCATTAGACTCACACAGGAGTGTGAACCCTATTGTGAATTGCACATGCAAGGGATCTAGGTTGTGAGCTCCTTATGAGAATCAAATGCCTGCTGTGCATGGTGACTCACGCCTATAATCCCAGCACTTTGGGAGGCCAAGGTGAGAGGATTGCCTGAGCCCGCTGGTTCGAGACCAGCTTGGGCAACTTGGCGAGACTTTTTACTTCTCTACAGTAAATCAAAAAAATTAGCTGGGCGTGGTGGCACATGCCTGTATTTCCAGCTACTTGGAAGGCTGAGGTGGAAGAATCACCTGAGCCCAGTAGGCCAAGGCTGCGGTGGCTGTGAGTGTGCCACTGCACTGCAACCTGGGCGACAGAGTAAGACTCCAACTACAAAAAAAAAAAAAAAGAAAGAAACACAACAAAGTCTGTGAACCTGTGTTCTGGACTTTGATGGAGCACGCTTATGCCAGATTTTTTACCCTCAATAGTAGTGATATCTGGGGCTGGAACGTTCTTTGTTGTGGGGGCTGCCGTGAGTGTTTTTGGTCCTTACCCACAAGGTGCTGATACACCACTCCCCATAGCTATGGCCACAGAAAGAGTCTCTAGACATTGCCCACTGTCCCCTGCAGAACACAGTTGTCCTTGGGGGAGATCCCTGACTTTCCTGAAGTGAAGAGAGAATAATTGGGCAGTGAGGATTCTGGAGGCTGACTGCCCAGGTTTTCTGTGCAGTCAAACCTCACAAACCTTAATGTGTATTTGCAGCTGCTCCCCAGCACTAGCATCATTGCCTCAGCTCCACCTCAGACCAAGTTGCCCATGCTGGTTTTGAACCCGTAGGCTCAGGCATTTCTCTCACCTCGGCCTCTCAAAGTGCTGGGATTATAGGTGTGAGCCACCATGCCTGGCCCTGTTTTGTTTCTTAAGTGTCTTTCAGGTTGGATAAAAAAATGTTTGGAGTGGATTTTATGACTCCTTTAGAAAGTATTTATTCATTCTATATGTTTATATGTGTGTGCCTGCTGTGGGCCAGGTCTGGGGCTGGGTGTTTGAGGGCCTGGGTGCCTTTATGTGTTAGCCTGCCTGCCATTGAGTCTACCCTTAGGGGTCACTTCATGGATTCTTGAGGGCAGATGCTTTTGTAGCTCAGTGCTAAGCTTAATTGATGTGGGCCTACGAGATGAGGACAATTTTTAACGTTGGGCCACAAAAAATGCAACTACATCTTTTCCTTGAAGCAGGAGGCATGGCCAAGCAGGGAACCGGAAGGTTGTGTGTGTCTTGCCAGTGCTTGATTTATGTGATTATTTTTCCCTCCAGTTTGCGAGGATAAGGAGTAGATGGTATACTAATATTTCCACTGTACCTATGAAGGGTAGGTTATCCTTACTGGGCAGTCAGCACCCCTTTTAGCAAGTGATTTTTGGTGGTGGTTCATATGCGAAGTAGGAGTTTGTCTTTGCTCCCAATACTGTAGCTGGTACTAGGATTTAATCATTCTCCAAGCACTGCCATAGGTTTCATGTGTCTAACCTTTCCAACTGCTCTGCCATGCAACTGTAGTGCCAGGGAGACTGGCTGGCTGAACATAGCTGGTTTGGGGAACTCAGGTATTCTGTCTGCTGAGTCCAGTGTGTCTCTGCCAAGCCACCAAGAGTTTGTAAAAACAGACCAGAAACCAGCAGTTCATGAAAACACCTTGCTTGCATCTTGCAAGATTTTATAGCAGATTTATACTCTCTGTATTTGTTTTCTTTAGTTGATAAGGAAGGACTCTTCAAATTTGATCATCTAGATGTCAGTGACTAAACTATTTTACTTTCTATCTTGGCATAAGTGTGTGAACTTTTAAGAAATCCAACCTTTCTTTGGATGTCTCTTGCAGCTGCTGGGTGTTTCCCTGATTAAGTAATTGTATGTTTCCTGGATGCCTTATCACTTGGTAACAGGTATTTCTAGTTATTGGCCCACTATTTTATTTTGTAACTCTGGATGTTGTTCTGAGGTAAAAGATTAAGTTTGGCACAGAAATCAAACTAGTTTATGTCATTGATTTGTTTAAAATTTAGCTTGCCCTTTTTAGGGCTTTTTATATGCCATATACTAAGTGAAACCCTTTGTATACGATGTCCTCATAGAGCTCCCGAGATCAGTACTAGGATTGTTTCAGTTTTGCAGATGAGGAAATAGAGGCTAAGAAATTGGTGACTTGACCAAAGGTGCACAACTAGATGAGTGATGGTACCGTTTTACTGCATTAACTACCTCTTGGGAACAGTTAGGAATCAGTGCTTAATGAAACACTTTGAAGTTACATCTGTGGAAAGAATGAATACTTTTTAACTGGGCAGGGTGGCACTCTTGGAGTTCCAGCTGCTTAGGAGGCTAAGGTGGGAGGATCACTTGAACTTCTGATGCAAACAGTAAAATTTATGTTCTGCATATTTCTTCTCTGAATGTCTGTTTTTACTACTCTAGAGACAGCATTATCTGGGAGAGAAAAAAGATTAAAAATACAATTGATTGCTTTTCTTAAGCATTACTTTTTACTTACTATTTTATTGTGTGTGTGTGTTTTTTTTAAAGTCACACTGAGGAGAAGACTCAATGGGAACATCCAAAAACTGGAAAAAGAAAACGAGTAGCAGGAGGTTTGTATGTTGTTATAAAGCAAAGAATCTTGTATTTGAAGTATTAATTAGATAGGAAAAATGTCACAGAGAGGTGACAGGTCACTGTGTCTCTCTGGTAGAGAGCCATTAAGGGACTGGACTGTTACCTTGGGGAGCTTAGGGGATTTGGCAGAAGATGGATCATGGGGTGAAGTGGGATGATTTCTTACTGTTTCTAAATCAAAAAAGTATCAGCCGGGCTCGGTGGCTCAGCCTGTAATCCCGCACCTTTGGGAGGCTGAGGTGAGTGGATTGCTTGAGCCCCTGGGTTTGAGACCTACCTGGGCAGCGAGACCTCATCTCTACAATAAATAAAAAAATCAGCCGGGCGTGGTAGCGTATGCCTGTAATTCCAGCTACTCGGAAGGCTGAGGCGGAAGGATTGCCGGAGCCCAGCAGGTCGAGGCTGCAGTGGCCGGAACGGCCACTGCACTCCAGTCTGGGTGACAGAGACTCCAACTCAAAAAAAAAAAAGTGGCAGAAGCACTAAAAGGCATCAAAATTGACGAGTTCAAAAACTGTTTGGAGTAGTAGAGAAAGCTTCTTGATGGGTGTATTACATCAAAAAAAGAGTGCTTTGAAGGTGACTAAAGTTTACAAAAAGAATAAATACACAATTATTTTTAATAAATTCCAGTTTTTGGTGTCCCTCCCCCCTTTTATCCTGGGAAGTAAGAAATGAAATTGTTATTGTTTACAGGAGATATCTCTGTTTACGTAAAAATGTCAAGTAACCACCAACAACAAACACCTAGTGATTGCAGCTAGGTTACAGGATACGAGGTATGGAAAATATGCAAGCATTTGTAACTTTCTTATGCACTAGCAAGAAACAACTGGCATTTGAAATTAAAAACACACTACATTAGCCTCCAAATAATGAAGTGCTTAAATATAAATTTAATAGCATATGCACAAGTTCTAAGTAAGGAATACTATAAAACTCTGATGATACTAATCAAACAAGATCTATTTAAATGGGGAAATATTTCATGTTCATGAGTGGGAACATTCAGTATTGTCAATATGTCAATTTCTCTCAGTTTGATCTATAGATACTAAGTGATCAAATTCTCAGCAAGTTAGTCTG